TTATTTTTTTAATGTTCATCATCATCTAGCATGTCATAAAATGTCTTACTTTCAATTCTCCACTTTTTACCAGAGGACCTTCTGGTTATGATCGTCGGCGATCTTCTTATCATGGTATTCCCATGTTGCGATATTTGCTCTGTAAATTTCTTTTACACCTGCCTTTTTGAAGTGATATTTGTCACATGCAATCGCACATCTAAATCTGTTTATTGATTATGCATTGTCATCTACTTGTAGGTTCTGTGCTATGCTAGTAATCAACTTTTGTGTTGGGAATATTGTCTTGTTTAATTAAGAATAAGATATTTTTTATGTCGTCTGATTTATTTAAGTTAAGAAGCTCTCTTCAAATGCTAATTACCTCTTGCTTTCTGCTTTTGTATTTCCTTACTGGTTAGGCACTAAACTTCTTTTGGTGTCTCAGTGTTGGTTTTCTTTATCTAGAAATGATTTGAAGATACTAAGTATAGGTCATGATATATTTTATGCTTTGTAAAGATAAAAAAACAACTTGATCTAAATATCAAATTCTTTTAGAATTTTATTTTTTGTGCTTCTCACATATTATAATTGCGTACATAGCATTAATAGTTCCGAGCTTAACGAAGTTCTATGTTTCTGGTATTGGTCCATGCCAATACATGGCCCGACTAGTACTTCTCCAGTCTGTGTTGGCATACCAACACACTACAACATGATGTAATGTCAGTTTCGACCAACTATAACCATAAAAAACGCTACTAGGATTCCCTTTGACTGTTCCTGATAAATACATACAAGATTCATAAAATTGAAGTGGTTTCAATCTAGAATACGACAAATATAACATCAAAACATGTCATGAAAGAATTACAGGCTGTATCTTCTAAATAATACATTGTGCATATAGTCATGTTCTATCTTCTAAGAAATTAATCATGATAAATTGATGTTTAATAAGATCATGTACGAATTCCTACCATCAAAATGATTGTCGTGAGTCCATGGGGGTGGATTGAGGTCCTTGCCGTGACTACACTATAGGTCGACATAGTATGTCAAGAGGATTCATGAATGGGATTGTTTCCATGACACCTTAGATTGACAAATAGTGTGCCATTGATGCAGCAACGTGATAGCAATCGTTGGCTCTTCATGAATGACCCATGTGGTAGGAGGCATATTGGTCAAGTATGATTCCATAGGATGTAGTGCAATAGAGCTGTGACTAATACTACTGTTGCATGCTCTAAGACATATTTGACTCAGAAAAATGACCATCATTGTACATCTATTGGCCATAAGATACGAGGTAGTAAGAAGGCTGGGAATACGAGGAACTGTTGTTTGACTCGATAGCACGTAGGCTGTCTCATAACCTCATACAAATCAACACCCTTTCCCTTTCATCTTTATGGCCATAAACAAACCATGTCCATTGTCATGCTCTGTGATCTGCATCTTGGGTGGTTTGATTAAAATATTTTTCCTCGATTCACAATCTGCCTATTTGAATAATGAGAAAATGAGATTGGTTCCCCTGGCCCTTAGCTGTCATCATCGATGGACACATTGCTATTCACGTCACTACTATATCTGTGGACCTCATGAAGTGGGACTGTGAGGGAGGTGTATAATGACCTGATTGGACTTGTTTTTGTCGATCGTGTCCAATGGATCAACTGATTGTGAAGCTTGACCCTTTCCCTTGCTGTAGTGGCTAGATGTCTGATCCTGCTGTGTGCTGCGATGATGCCGGGATCAGCGCCTGAAGACTTCTTAACACTGGACGATAATCCTCATATAGATCCATATTTTGACCCGTCGTTGCTCTTCCTTGTTTGTCTCTTAAATGAATCGAGATGGGCGTGGGAGATTTCTTGGGAAATCTACAAAGCAATTCATGTGGACCTAACCTAGATCTGTGAAAACCATCTTTAGATCCATGTGGATCTAACCTTTCTCCACAAGCATCAAGCCTATATCCACAAGATCCTGTGCTAGATCCATGAGTCTAATTTTATGTGGATCTAGCCTAAAATCAAAAGGATCAAGACAATCCATACAGATCTAGCTTAGGTAAGCAAGATTTGAGGCTTGATCTATGTGGATCAAACTTGAAATTAGGTGTAAATGGGATACACAAGGAAGAAATAACATCAATCTTGATCTTGCAACTAAATTAAGGTAATTAAGCTAACAATTAGGTTCAAATTTACCTAGTTTTGTAAAAGGGAACTGGCCGGATTCTCAAATTCAGACTTCTCGAAAAATTTGTTTTGAGTTAATTTTAGAGAGATCTGGGAGAATTTGAGGAAGGAGAAAGAATGAAGGAGAGAGTAAAGCGAGGAAAAGAGGCCTATTTAGCCCTCTTTATGCAGTCAAAGGGTTTGACTCATGTGATCCCCTTGGTGAGTTTACCACCTGGTTTTGGCCTGGCTTACATGGTGGTAAGCTCTGTACTATGTGTGGACAATGCGAAATTGGGCTGTTTGTGTTCCAGTTCAAGCTTGGACTGGTATGTACTGCTCAGTAGTCAGTACATACGGTTTGGGTGAAATGTTAAACCTTGCATTCAAAAACTTGAACATTCATTTGATGGCTCACATGGTCAGTACCTTAATTACATTTATTGTTACTGCAGCTTATTGTTGGTTTCAATGGCCAAACAAGTAGACTCCTGTCTTCTTTTTCTGTCCGTATCCTATTTTTCTGAAGCAGAGCCAGGGGTTTACACCCGATTTTAGGGGTTCCAATCTAGATTAGTTCTCCCACATCTTTATGGTTTCTAAGGGCCTTGAATTTTTTGAATGTTGGACTCTTCATTTTTAGTGTCTTGTGTCTTGTTTATCTGTTTACAGCTGAACCTTTCTAGAGGACTAATCGAGAAGAAGTCTCGAGAAGTAGTTTAACATTCTGAGGTTAACTAAATGTAGTATGTACTGTTGATTGTGCATTTTGGAGGTTTATTTCTTTGGTATGCCTTAAGGATTGACATCTTAAATGTAGACACATTTTAGAAAATTGGTTTATCACAATTCAGATACAAATTTCATTCACAGCAGCAAAACATAAATTTCTTGTCAAACAACATAAATGTGCTGATGCTTCATATTTCATGTGTTTAATGTAACAGGACGCTCACGTTCTCGATCCAGATCGCGCTCACGTTCTCCCCGTTATTCTTCAAGGGCCCGTCATCACTCACGGTAAGCTTTGGTGTTTTTTCTGTATATATACTACTCCTATCAGTTGAAATTTGTGGGAAGGATCCAGTTCATTTACTCTTTATGAATCATTTCATAATATTCATCTTTTTGCATATTTAGCAGATCCTACTCCCCTGCAGCAAAATCCCGCAATGACTATTCTTCCCCACAAAAAAGGCAATCTAGTCATGAAAGATCCCCCAGGAATCATTCAAAGGAGCGCAATGAGGATGAAAATCGCAAATCATATTCTCCAAGCTATAGTGATGCTAACCGAAATGATGTTAATGATTATGAAGCGTAAGTCAAATTAAATGATTTATCATATTTTTTTATTTATCATTAAAAATGTTTACCTTCTCCAAAAATCTCCATGGTTTGACACTCTAGGCAATGTGGTGCATGCTCTCATAGTCCCCAAAGAAATATTAGTTCTCTGATACTTGTAAGATGCATGGTATGTGTGATGATCTGTAATGTGTCACGTGATTCTCAGACCTTTGCTGTCTTTTTATTTTTAAATATTGGCCCATCTGAGTGACTAATAGATTGAAATACGGGTTAGGGTTCAAATGGTGGTTATAATAATGATGATTGATTATAACTTTTATGTTAAAGCTTATCATAATTAATTATTTAGTTCACACGAAAGCTTTTGGCAATTATCATCAGGTTCTGATATCTATAGTTTTATGATGCTTTAACAATATGATGATATATTAGTCCACTGCACACGTTCATACAGAAACATTAAAAAGACGGTTATTGTTCGCATAGATATAAACACAGTCGTTCATTATATGGAATTATAATTTTGGTGCATGTACAGTAAGGCTTCACATGATGCCGAGGGATCACGTTCTTATTGGAGATCCCCAAGGCGCTCATCGGTTTCACCTCCCGGATCACGATCGAGATCTGCTGATTTGAGCCCCAGGCGCAACAGTGAATGAGAGGTAGTTTATGTTTTCTTGGTTGCATTTCTGAAGTTGAAATCAGAGATCTGAAGGATCATGATGCGCCTCGTTTCTTGCATGTTAAGCAGATGATAAAACTCTTTCTTAGTTTGCTCTGTGGTTCTTGTCTCGAATATTTTGAAGGGGACAGTGATGTGAAAGACTTCTGTAGCCAACTCAATCCCTGTAATTTGGACAAATGAAAGACATTATGCTTGCTTGTTTCGTGCTTTCCAGTTATATTGTAAGATATTTTTTCATGGGTTACTGTGGTTGACGAAATGGATCGTGTGATTTCTTTCATCTGTTGCATGACATGGACAATTGTTTGCTCCAGCTGTGCTTGTGATGCTTATATACTTTTTGAACAACCATGGTTTATTGTGAGTTTGTAACTTTGTCTGCTTTCATCATGTTCTTTAGTTGATCTCTTGAATTAGGGTTTTATAATAGTTTCATCATGCACCAAAAGTATAATTGTTTTATAATTTCATCATGCACCAAAATTATAATTCCATATAACGAAAGCAGGAAGGAGGATGGATATACAATAGTTTTCATCCTAATATATCATGATTCCATTTTAAAAAGAAAATTCAAAGAGATGTCGATTAAATTTGGCCAAATTAAATGCATGTTCAGGTTTTGGGTCTCCACTATGGGTGTGAAGTGGAAATATGGTACGAGACTCGAGGAATGATAGATAATAGGCAGTGAGCTTATCTCAGCGATATCGAAGTGAAAAATATCCAGCTATATATAAGAATCGATGTGTAAAAGTGGAAGGATGGCTTTACTCGACTAGAAGCGTGAATGAGATGAATTCCTCCTGAATCTGGTTCTTACTGCTTCAGAGAAAATGTTATATTCTGATCCTGTTGATGTCTCAACCTGTAGCTTTGATGAAGCTTGCCACTTCTTAATAATTTAGACACAGAAGGAACAAGCTTTACACCTACCACACCATAAAGTGTGACATTACAAAGCTCTCGTTACTAGGGTTCTCCATGGCATCACCTGTTAGGGCCATATTGAGATCAATCAAATAACAACCAATTCTTGCTATAGATAAAGAGGGGACGCAGATGGTCTTGGATAGGTGACCTTCAAGCTTCCATCTCCTCGAAAATCTTTCAAGCTCACTCTGGTGTCGCCGCCGCTACCGACGCTTCGGGCTCTCACCTTCTCTTCTGCCGACGGTGGTGTTCCTGTTTGCTTTGTATCTTGAAGCTGTTGTAGTGTGGATACCATCTGGTCCATGGAAGGTCTGAACTTTGCGTCCATGGATAGGCAGTTCTGTGCAAGCGATGCGACCTTCTGCGCTCCATCGAGTGAGTACTGGCCTTCGAGTCGATTATCTATTATACGAAATATCTTGCGCTTGTGTGTGAGATAAGGCCGTGCCCACTCGACCAGATTGTGTTCCCCATGTGGGCGGTTCTTGTCGACGGCACGTCGCCCTGATAGCATTTCGAGAAGAACGACGCCAAAGCTATACACATCACTCTTGGCAGTCAGATGGCCTGCAGTAATAAGATCATAATGTAGAAGATTAACTAATCCATCATGTACACAATGTAAAGAAATATTTTGAAGGATTGAATACCAAGTAACAGCAATGATTTCAATGCTCTTCACAGCTTTTCAGGGTACTCTCTTTGTCCATGTCCACTTGTTTCAACATGATATTAATTTTGATGGAAAATGATCATTTGTATCATCTTATAATTTGGAGTATTTCACTTTTGGTGAAATTTATCTGAAACAGTTAATAATTCCAAAGGTTGCATATGCCAGAAAGATTTATACTAAAATTTGATGCAACATGATCGCGTGCTGACAACATGAAACAAACAGCAACCAAGATGCTAATGCATAAAGCAGTCAATATGCTGCAAAATTACCCGTCGCGAGGTACTCTGGGGCTGCATACCCATATGTTCCCATTACCCTAGTGGATACATGGCTCTTATCACCTGTAGGGCCATCTTTTGCCAAGCCAAAATCAGAGAGTTTTGCGTTGTAATTCTGTGCATTCAGATAAGAGATCAGTCGGAATATGCTGTTACCTCTAAGAGATTTTTCATGGACAGATCATACTGCATATAGCTGCTATACATACTGTATCAAGTAAAATGTTTGAAGCCTTAAAATCACGATATATGACTTTGGCTTCGTCGCTATGAAGATAAGCTAGTCCTTTTGCAGCTCCAAGTGCAGCCTTCATCCGGAGGTTCCAGGAGAGTGGTTGGAAATACGAGCCCCCTGCGTACATGGCCATCAAACATTACATACATAGAACATTGCACGAATGATCAACATGATAGAGATTGGACGTGTTCTTTTGTCCATAGTTAATCCAACCGAAGTAGACACGGGTGGAAAACATACTTCTGAAAAGATGATTCTCTAGACTTCCGCGAGGCATGAACTCATAGACCAACAACCGATGATCATCTTCCAGGCAGTATCCTATCAGTTTTACGAGATTGGGGTGGCGCAACTGACCCAAGTAATTGATTTCTGCCTACAGATTTTAAGGAGCAGCAGCAAGTTAGGACATCTAAAACCTTAGCATTTATGATGTTAGGAAGTGAGTGTCGGGCCGTGTCAGCATGATATAGATGCAAAATAACAGATTCATCATATGCTTCAGAAGAGAAAGACTTTGGTAGACAAAAAACCAGCTGATTGCAACTATTATACCACAAGAAAAGCAAGCCATAAAAGCAGCATGATATGATGACTTTTCCCAAACCCATGTACCAGAAGGAGCTTAAAGCAACTCACCAGCCACTCTTTATGACCCTGTAGACCTTCCTGGTTGAGCCTCTTGACAGCGACAACAATTCCAGAACCAGGTTTGGATGCTGTAAGGGTGCGTTCATCGATCCATCCCTTGAACACAGAACCAAAGCCTCCCTCTCCAACCACGCTGTCCGGGCGGAAGTTCCTTGTAGCTGCTCTGAGCTCGCTGAAGCTGAAGCTCTTCAAGTTGGAAGACTGCAAGATGTCAACCTCGGTCCGAGGGGTCAGAGGCACAGAAGCTGAAGATCGGCTGCTAGAGCCACTCGATCCATTTCTATCTCTGCTGACACTCCTGCAATTCACCTCTGTTTGCATCAAATCCAGTGTCAGTTGCTGTGGAGAAATACGGTACCCGAAGAAACATTATAACAACGATTCTCGTATGCCGAACTAAAACCTAGAGAATCAATTATTGACTAAAAAAGCAAATCTAGAGGTTGTATGATCCACCTTAAGCATGACCGACTGAAGTCCAGAACCAAATTCAGAGATAGCATTATCCACCTAAAGCAATTGTTGGCTGAAAAATACTGGCAAATACAATCTTTCAATCCATACCGGAAGCCTTTGAACTTGGAGAATCCACGGGTTTGGTAACAATAAATTGGGTGTACAATCCAACAAAGAATGGACAAATTTTGGCCAAGACCTAATTCTTAAAAAAGATAAAAGAAAAGATTATAGTTTAAACCTAACACCAACCAAGAAAGACCGTGGGTTGGCCAATGCAAACAAGGACTTCAAAAAGATCCTACCACTAGTATGGCAAGACGAGCCGGAGATGGCTTACGAATGTTGAATTCGACTGCAACTCCATCTAGTTCAGCATCCACCTTAAGGTTGAACCCAGCTTCACTACAGTAGAGCCAAGCGCTGGTAATCACATAGATGAAACTAAAATCTACAAAACCAGTCCTCATGACTTGGCAAAATAGAATCTGTAAGTCTGAATTGATTTCAAAGCAGTTGGGTAACGCAAAGATTTGAGTTCAGAGGGACGCCAAGAAAACATTCGAGGCAACAACTTAAGAGATCTTACCAGAAGCGGAAGCACTATTGAACGGGCTCTCCGCCTTGACCCGCGAACTCCAGCAGCTCCCCATCGAATAACCCTCGACACAAAGCACCGCAAGGAACTAGCGGTCGAGATCCATCTCAAAAGGCCAAGCCGCGGCCGGATCGATGAGGGGAACCGCCGGATCTGGCCTAAAAATGCCTCCTCTCCCGTACGGACCGATCCAAAACCCCTCCCGCGTTAAAATCCCGCAGTCCTCAGACCGATCCAAGGCCGAAAATGGGAGATGAGATCGCCCCACAAGGGCCACCGACAGCGGATTCAACCATGAAATGGAAGATTACGTTCCAATATTTGTGGAAAGGGCAGCAGCTCGAATCGATGGGGAGTTAGTAGGGTTTCCCTTCTCGCGATCCCTCTTGCTTCGGCGGGGTAGAGTGGGAGAGGGGGAGGCCATTAATGGCGGGCGATGGCGAGCTTATCCGGTTCGTGCTCGTTTCTACTAACCAACGACTCCAATCTTTTATATCTGCACCTCCTCCATCTCTGTGTCTATATACGAAGAAGAAGAAGAAGAAGGAAAAGTAGTGCAAAAGGGGAGTGAGAGTATCGAAGGCAGCGGAACTGCCCGCAACCCAAAAAATCAATAAAGGGTTCAGTCATGGGACAGTAGGGAAGGTCTCGACCGTCAGATGCAGATGGAGGGGATCAGAGGGCGTGAGAGAGCTTGGCTGGGTCCCATTTTTGATGTTGTGAAATGAGCGGATGTGATCTGCCGTAAGCGCGACGACGTGATTTGTGCCAACCATTTTTTTATTATTATTTTACTTGAATTCATAATTATTTGATGATTATCTATCTATGTTTCAAAAGTAATTTACTTGAATCTATGACGTGGGAAGCGCGTGTAAGATGAGCTGAACACGTGGATGAAGCGTACGTCCAATTTGAGCACGATAAAATTAGTGCGAGAGAGAAATATATTAGACAGTATGTCCCACCAAATTTATCGCTTTTATTAGATTAAAGCAGAGAGAGAGAGAGAGAGAGAGAGAGAGAGAGAGAGAGAGAGAGACAAATTATATCAACCCGATTAAGTCTATTCTTCTAAGATATCAAATCATTCATTTGAGACTCTTGATATTAAAGAGGATAGGTGACCAATGAAGTATCTTGGGAAGTAGATTTCTAACTATCAACTATTTAATAGATATCATATTGGAGGTGTATAACTACCCTAACATTCATGGTGGTTAAAGATCTTCATCTTATCAAATCTACTATTAGTGTCCAAAAATAAAAGATTTATTTATCTTGGGCTTGGGCTTGGGCTTGGGCTCCAGTACGGCATACATGGGGATGGGCTTGGACTTGACAACCAATAAATTCATAATTATTATATATTTTTTCTAAGTTATAATAGATCAAGACTTATACTAAACTAATTTTATATTTTATTATTATTGGCATTCTCAATTAAATTATGGGTTTCCTGCTCTAACCTTAATTTCTTTTAATTATTATTACTTTGTGTTTGTGCATATCTAATAGATTATCAATTAGGATGAATCTTAATTTAAATTTATAGAAATTTAGAAGATTGTCGTTGAAAGATGCCTGCAACAATGAAACCAATAAAAACATATGATACACCTCAAAACTCATGTCAAAGCTAGAGACACACCTTCCGAAGAGACGAATGATAGGGAAAGCAATAACATAGGTGTTACACTACTAGTTCGATCAGTCACACAAGATCTTGTGTCACATGAAAATTCACATAAGTCAACCAGTAGTACATGATAACTAGACCTAATTTCTCAACTTTCCCTTTACCACGCCACCGAACCTCTCCACTTCCCCTCGATCATACCACTATTCATTAGCGATCCGTCACCCTTGGCCATGATTTCAAAAGGGATTACACATTTAATTACAAGAAGTATTAATTTCTGACAACATGGCCTGACTATTCAGGCATTTGACGTTGATCCCCATCCCTTGTTTGTTTTAGGCATGTTCCTATCCTGACAGACGATACATCCCATGTTGTCTTTTCTTGACATAATCAGTAGGAAGACATGTTCGTTAACTATTGACATAGATGAACTCTTAACGATATGAGAAATTGAAGGAGGGATGAGCAGCCGATCGCCCTCCATCTATAAATCATGTATAAAAGTCAACCCTCGAAACCAGATGAGGGGGACTGGACAAAAAAAACTCTTTTGAGTTATGTTAAATCTTTACTATTTTTTCTATCAATTTAAGTGTTAGAGGGGATGAATCAGACAATTCTTCAACGTTGACCAATTATGTAGAGCTTTAACGTGCCTAAGGAGCACCCTAGGATAACACAAAGAGTATCGGCTTGACAAGGTCAAGGTGCACCTCCATATCTGAATCTCTTTCGGTGGATAAAACTCACATCGAAAATGGATAAAACGTACATCGAGAGTCATATCACTCAAACAATCTATTTGGGCTATTGGAATGGATTCATGCTTTTGGAACCGAATTAAACCGTGTGTAGACTCCCCGATCAACGACACTCAAGAAGAAGTATACGCCCAGACGAAGTCTCCACCGGAACTGCCCTTCCCAAATAATTCCAACCACATCTAATCGGTGAGGCAAATCGCCTCGAAACCTAAACATCCAATCAGTGATTTCTGGTGTTGGCAAGTGCAAGAAACTTAAATTTGCTGCCTGCGGCGACGGTATTTGCAGCAAAGTGAACGTAAAAAAAGGATACGTGACAGTGAATACAGTAGCGTTCGGACCTACCAGAGAAAAGAATATAAAATACTTTTAGCTGTCGGTGTCGACGCTGATGCATGCATGCCAAGTGCGGAAGGTGGTACGCGGAGGAGAAGAGACCGGTGCAGTCCTCATCCCTTGACTTCCCATCTACTCATTAATCAATAGCTGCTGCTGCTGCTTCTGCTTCTGCTTCTGCTTCTGCTTCCTCCAGGTCTCGCGCGCCAGAGTGCAGTGGCTGATGCGGGTGACGGAGGGAGGCGCATGTGAGCTGCGTGCTCGTGTGACACGCACCTTACTTGTAAGGCTTCATGTCCCGTAGCTCGAATCAACATTTATAAAAAAAATAAATTTAATTTAAGGAAAGATTATTATGGAGAGAATGGAAATCTATAAATAGATAGACGTGTAAAATATATATATATATATATATATATATATATATATATATATATATAT